AGCTGTCGAGAACTTGCTATCAAAAATGCAGTAAAGGCTAATTAGCGAGCTGAGATCGAAGAAGAGAAGCCCCTGTCAGGAGAAAAGAGGGCGAGAGGGAGCGACCTCGAGCCACATGGGGAGTTGATGGAAATACAAATTGGAGAAAGGGAGGACCAAACCACAAAGGTCGGGAAGGACCTTGAGGACGAGTTAAGGAATCAATTGGTGGAGCTGTTGAAGGAGTTCAGAGACATATTTGCTTTCTCCCCAGAAGAGTTGACGGGGATAGACAGAAATCATGTAGCATAAACTCCATGTCGAACCTCTAAGAAAGCCGGTTAAGTAACGACTTAGGCACCATGGAGCGGAGATCGTCAAAGCCATCGAAGTTGAGGTGGATAAACTGTTGAAGGCCAAACATATCAAGGAGATACAATTCTCTGAATGGATATCTAACACGGTGATGGCGAGGAAGGCGTTGGACAAATGGCGCATGTACTTCGACTTTCGAGACCTGAACCTGGCATGTCCAAAAGATCACTACCCATTGTCGAGAATTGATCAGCTAGTCAACTCCACGGCTGGCTGCGAGCTGTTGAGCATGATGGATGCGTCCCAGGGATATCACCAAACTCCCTTAGCACCAGAAGATCAAAGCAAAGTAAGTTCTGTGACGAGCAAGAAGACATATTGTTATGTCGTGATGCCCTTTGGACTTAAGAACGCGGAGGCGTCTTATCAATGATTGATGGATATGATGTTTAAATAGTAGATCGGGCGTAATATGGAGGTATACGTGGACGACATCTTAAAGAAGAGCAGATCCTCGACATCGCATGCTGACGATTTAAAGGAAACATTCAAAACACTTAGAACGTTTGGAATGAAGCTGAATCCAAGCAAGTATGCCTTCAGAGTAAGTGCAGGACGATTTCTGGGGTATGTCGTAACAGAATGAGGAATAAAGGTGAACAAAGAGAAGGTGAAAGTCATACTCGACATGGCCCCACCACGAAACATTCGCGAGGTAAAAGTCCTAACAGGACGGATTGCGGGGTTAAGCAGGTTCATTGCTTGAGCTGCTGAGAAAAGTTTCCCATTCTTTAAGTTACTCAAAAAGAAGTCGACTTTCCTATGGAGTGAGGAAGCGCATATGGCATTTGAGAAATGAAGGAGTTCTTGAGTGAATTGCCTTTGCTGACAAAACTAAAATCTAATGACGAGTTGATGCTATATATCTCTGTGAGACTGGTGTCTTTGAGCTTGATGTTGGTTCGAGAGGAATGAGGTTCTCAGCAACCGATCTATTACACGAGCAGAATATTCGAAGGAGCGAAGACGAGATACACCAAAGTCGAGAAAGCAACGCTAACTCTAGTGATAACGGTTTGGAAGTTGAGGCTATATTTTCTCAATCATATGGTGGTAGTGAGGACAAATTTCCAGCTGGGAGAAACACTTGGGCGACTTACGGTGTCAAGTCGACTCGTCAAGTAGGCTATTGAATTAAGCGAATATTCTATCAAGTATGAGCCTAGACGAACCATAAAAGCTCAAGCGTAAGCCTCCTTCATCCAAGAATGCACCAACGGAGAGAAGAAAAGATGGAGGATGCATGTCGACGGATCCTCTGCAGCTAAAGGATCCAACTTAGGAATAGTTCTCGTATCCTCAGAGGGCGAGCAAATAGACTTTGCTATCAGAATGGGGTTCAAAGTCTCGAACATTGAAGCGGAGTATGAAGCCTTAATAAAGGGAATTTAACTCGCAATAGGTGGAGGAGTGAGTGAGATAACGACACATTTCGACTCGCAGCTCATTGAAGGGAAAATGATGGGGAATTGCGAGATCTAGGAGGAACGAATGATGAAGTATATCAAGGAAATTCAAAGCCTCGTGCAGGGGCTGGAAAAGTTTGAACTAATACAAGTACCAAGGGAGGAGAACAAAAGAGCCAATGGCTAGTAAGAAACGCAAGTTCGAATGAAGGGAAGATGAGAAATCGCATTACAGTCATGCATTTAGAAAGAAGTGTCTTAGGCGAAACAGTGGAGGTCGAGGAGAAGGAGGACTGGAGAAAGTTGATTATAGATCTCTTGCAAGGGCAAGTGCCCACCGGGGATAAGCAGCCAGCAGAGAAGATAGCCCGGTATTTGGGGAAGTACTTCGAAATCGATGGAGTTTTATATAAGAAGTCGTTTGTTTGGCCCCATTTGAGATGTGTCTTTGAGGAAGAAGGAAACTATGTCTTGAGAGAAATCCATGAAAGATATTGTGGAGCACACACAAGATCTCGAGCTCTAACAGGAAAGGCCTTGCGAACAGGGTATTATTGGCCGAAAGTGCGAATGGCAGCGGAGAAGTTAGTGCGAGAATGCGAAAGATGCCAACGACATGGGCAAATCACTCATATTCCAGTAGAAAACATGTCGACGATTAACTCTCCAATCCCCTTTGCTCAATGAGGAATCGACTTGTTGGCCCCATGCCGATGTGAACTGGGCGGAGAAAATTTCTAGTGGTCGCGGTCGACTACTTCAGCAAATGGGTCGAGGCAGAAACCTTGGCACGAATCACTGAGGAGAAAATGATATAATTCTTGTTCAACAACATCTGCGGGCAGTTTGGAATAACAAAAGTGCTGATCTCGGGTAATGTAACTCAACTCCAAGGGAAACGAATCCAAGAGTGGTGTCTAGACATGGAGATTAAGCAAAGATTAGCTTTAGTCGCGCATCCCCAAGTCAACGAGCAAGTCGAGGTGACGAACAATACTATTCTCCAAGGACTAAAGAGAGACTGGAGAAGGCATCAGGAGCATGGATTGTCGAGTTAACAATTGTTC